ACCCCAATTCAAAAAAAAAAAAAAAAAGATCAGGGTCACTAGGGTTCAGAAGGAAGAAAGGGATGAACAGACAGAACAGAAGATTTCTAGGATGGAGCAACTACTCTGTATATACTACAACCACTAATGCATGCCATTATACCCCATTTGCCAAAACCCCATAGAATGTAAAACACAAAGAGGGACTCCTAATGCAAAATGTTAACTTGAAGCAATAATGGTGTGTCCATGACAATGCATCAGTTATAAAAGCGCACTGCCCTGGTGCAGGATGTCAAGTGGGGAGGGTGTGTGTGGGGATACCCCAGATGCAGAGGCTATATGGGAACTCTCTCTACTCTCTGCTCAGTTTTGTTATGTACCTTAAACTGCTCTAAAAAAATTAAGTTTATTAATTTAAAAAGATATCTTCCATGTTTTCATCCAGCATATCAATACATTCTAGAATCATTTGTACTTATTTTATATCTAGAAACTATTCAGAATCATAGTCTTTAAAAAACCATGAGCCAGGCTCGGTGGCTCAGCCTGTAATCCCGCGCTTTGGGAGGCTGAGGTAAGTGGATTGCCTGAGCCCGTGGGTTCAAGATCTGCCTGGGCAACTTGGCGAGACCTCATCTCTACAATAAATCAAAAGATTAGCCGGGCGTGGTAGTGCGTGCCTGTAGTTCTGGCTACTTGGAAGGCTGAGGTAAAAAGATCAACAGAGCCCAACAGGTCGAGGCACAGTCTGGGTGACAGAGTGAGACTCCAACTCAAAAAAAAAAAAAAAGAAAAAGAAATAAAATCTATTATTATGAATTATTAATAATTCAGACCTATACTACATATCATTATGAAACAAGAATATGTCGGGCATGGTGGCTCACGCCTGTAATCCCAGCACTTGGGAGGCAGAGTTGAGAACCCATGGGTTTGAGACCAACCTGGGCAACTTGGCAAGACCTCGCCTCTACAATAAATCAAAACATTAGCTGGGTGTGGTGGCGCACACCTGTAGTTTCAGCTACTCGGAAGGTTGAGGTGGAAGGATCACCTGAGCCCAGCAGGTCAAGGCTGTGGAGGCCATGAGCATGCCACTGCACTCTAGCCTGGGTGACAAGTGAGACTCCAGCTCAAAAAAAATTTAAAAAGAACCAAACATATGAAAGACATAACAAAAAACACAAGCTGGCTTTCTCTCTGTGCCTCTCATAAAGCATGAGCTCAAAAAAAAATCCAATGACTGACCAGTTAGAACAGAAAACTGAAAGTCAGTCTTACAGATTTTATTCCCAACATGCCACTAACATGATACAGACATCTATCATATCAGATAATTTAGAAAACACAATTTGAAGATACCAAAACTTGATAGTCACCTCAGGCTTTGAGAAAGGCTTTCTAAAATAACCCACTATTGAAAAAATGGTAGGTGCTACTAAACCAAACGGCTTAACAGGCAAAAAGTGCTGTATTAAAGCTTGAGCTCCAAGACAGGATAACACTGCGCAGCTAACCAAAACTGTAGGAGAAATACAAAACTGTGATGGATGATTGGATGTACATACTTTCATACACTTTCTTTTTTTTTT